GGAGATTCGGCACTATTTCATCCGCCGTTCCGCCCGCGAAAGAAATATATAAGCAAAGTAAGCGGATTATACTTGCCACACGGCTCCCCGTCAGCGTCCATTTTCGAGAAGCACGTTGAGCTTCTGACTTGCTTGCTGCGGGCGTTTAATTATGAAAAAGCCCGAGAATTCATTGCTACTATTCTGCGACGTCTCAAATCGGGAGAATTATAAAGTTGCAGATTTATGAAGTTTTAATTCTCCAGCGAGACATGCGAACTATCAAAAGGATTAATGCTTGAAGCCTTCATACACGGGATTCGCGCCCAGCCATTTTATCTACAAAGCAATAATTTTAAGTAAGTCTCTTTCTCTCTTTCTCTTTGGTTTTATACCCATGGTCGAATTCGACGCCTTTCTAACGCCCCTGTCACTCAAAAAAAGTGATAAGAATTTTCGAGTCGCGTATACACTGGCAATTTCTTAAAAGGATTGCCGTGGCGCGCCATACTGTACAAGGGAGTAGTAGCAGCAGCAGCAGCAGCAGCAGAGCCGCCCAAGCAAGCCCCGAAGATGCCCGAAGTTGAATAAAAGCAAACGAGCCGATTTGCCCTCCCTGCACTCTCATACCCATGCACATTAGACTCGTCCCTCGATATTATAACGTGCACAGCCAATGGGCGTTCTCCTTCATAATACGAAATGTCCATTCGACTGTGCTCCCTTGTTTTCCCTGCACCGCGCATATCACTTATACTCACAAAGGATACAGCAAGCAAAAGGAGAGTCCGAGCACGCATCGTTGTCCTCGCGCATGGCCAGCGTGAGGTGAAATTCAATCTGAGGGAATAACAAGCCGAGTGGGTACGAGTAGACTTACGATATTTGCCGCGTTTAGCACCACGGCGAAGCAGACTCGAGGCTGCAAGCAGCATCAGCCAGGCATAACGCGCATTAAGGGAAGGGGCAAGGCACACACGGGGCGGCGGCTATTTTTTTCTTTTATTTTTTTGTTTTTTTTTGCGGCAGACGGCCCCAAAAACGCTGCCTCTAATAGATTGCCCGCCATGTTCGACTTCCAAGAACTGTCGCCCGCTCTCGAAATGTACGGTCCGATGATTTTTCTTGGCGCGTCCGCGTGCACACCACGCGTGCCTCTGAATCAAAGCGGATTCGTGGGAATGATCTGACTTAGCCGATCTTTATTAGAGGCGAGCTCCTCGTGAAATTAAGAAACTTTTTTGTCTCTCTCTCTCTCTCTCTCTCTTTCTCTCTAGTCGCCTGACGCCCAAAAGAAATTAAGTTCTCTTTTACTTTATTGGCTGCTACGGGTTCGTGGGCTGATTTGCTTTCGCGCGCGCGCTGGAGGGAGGACATGCGATAATTACAGAAGGGACGCCCAGGCCAACTTCTCTACGCAAGTCTTTGGCTTCTCTGGTGCCTTCAATTATAGCCCATGTAGATATTTCCATTTATTAACAAGTGTCGTGAATACTTTCAACGCTCAGAATATTTTGTAAATGTGCTTCAAAAACTCGTGATTTTCCGTTGACCGTTCAAGCAACATTTGGAGCAAATGGAAAATGCTTGTCCTTTTTTATATGTAGAAATCAAATTGGATGAAACTTGAAACACGCGCCATGTTGTTCAGAAGATCAGCGCATTAGTTCATTGTTGTATAGTATCGAACAAATTGAAAAATGTATTTTATTTTGTCAGAATTGCTTTTCTTTATTATTATTAACCATTGGGATTCTTAAAAGTAATACCAATCTATATAGGATGCAATTCTTTTCCATTTTTAACTATCAAAAAACGAATTTCCTGTCAAAAGATCACCTATAATTTAAAATCTTAGGCTTGATATTACGTAATTTTTTCATTTTTTCGAACAGTAAACGCTCAAACAATTAAAACATTCCAAAGTCTATGAGAATACGCAAACTCTAAATAGAATATCGAAATTTTGCTAGCATTAAAAATTATCAGTTTAGTATAACAATCATCATTTTTATATTGTATATAAAATATTCGTACACACTATTATTTGTACCATATTTAATGCTGCCAAATCAAACTGAGGTCTGCTTAATGTATTAACATTGCTTCGTTGCATGATATTTATTTGAGAATGAATGTTGGTATGCGATTACCTGAATGAAATGCGAGAAGTTTACACGATCTACCTGTAATTAACTCTAGTCACCTTACAATATTTTATATAAAATCGACATACGTTCGCGAAGTCAAATATCTTACTCTATATTTAAATATTTCTTTTAAATTATGCATACATATCATGAAGCAGCAGTGACTTAGTTTTTTTTATAGTATAAAGTGAGCAGAGTATAAAATTATTCTATGATATTAAGACGAATATGCGACACTTAAACAAGGCAGGTCTGTATCGATGCTCACAAGCTACACACTTATTTCATCTCTTGAATAAAACACATTATTTCACCATAATGCGTATTCATTTTTACACATAAATTATCATATTTATCAATAATTTTTATTATATCATTCTACATTTATTCAAGCACATAGGATTAAAAAATAAATATTCTCCTGAAATTAAAATTAGCGAAAAATATCTATTTAACACAAAACAATATTAAATTTTATTAAGTTATGATTGATTATATCTTGATATAACTTTAAACATGTTTTTAATTTACCATTAAGTAAAATACCATTATGTCGGCACACGAATACAACTTTGACCTGAATCATGTATAATTGATACTGTACTCGAATGGGTATTTATACATTTGATTTTATTTGAATAATTTTCTATATGAATTCTGCGTTATTTTTTATTTAGTGTATTTTCTGGCTAAAAACTGTCAACTGAATATTTTAAAGTGAATATATTCTGAAAACAAAGTTATGAACATTATGCTTCAAGACCACAAGAAGGCACTAACAATGGATTTGTATAAGAAACAACCTTAGCAGATAATTGCGCAAAACTAAGTTAAGGTTAATTTTAGTAACCTCGTGGGAATTAGAGTTGCAACTAGAATGCTAGATATTAGTCGGTATTTTTCTCAAATGAAATTGTTTTTTGCTTTGTTGGTATTATCATCTCGCTCAGCCGCTTGCGCCGCTTGCACCGCTGCTCAGTATAGACGAAAGACTTTGTTGCCGTTCGAGTTATGAAACATTATGTAGGTGAGCGCGGTGGTATTTAAGTGCAATTAGAAAATACGACTATGTATGTCTCAAGTTGCATAATTGACTCAAAGAAGCGCAATGGTATATGCATGCAAGTATTATTATGTATTTGCGTACGCAAATTGCACCTCATTTTCTTGCCTCTTGATCCTATTGCGAAGCATATGATAGAAAGCCTACTGCAATTTATGGGGTAATGGTAGAAACAAGTGATAGTTATCAGCACAAGTTCCAGCGTCTGGAAGTTAACAAAAACGTTCTGTACTATTTCACAAAGAATCTTTTACGTTCGAATGGAAACAATCATTGTCACAATCGTATTTGTTTCTAGCTGTCAAATGATTAACTATAAAAAGCACTTCACTCTATTAACATTTATAAATATTCTCACTTATTGCCAATTGTTTTAATTAGAAAAATGAGATATAATTTACAGCCCTGCACCTCCGACGCTCCAAAATGTACGATCAGCTCGGAACGGTCTAAACGACTGAAATATTTAACTAAGGGCTCTAAGGTAGGCATGGACTAGAAAGTTGCTCAACAAAACGATTTCTAATTTTTTTCTACGCTGACCATCAACAGGGATGCTGTATCTGAAGGATATACCGTTTAGCTGCTATGCAAACATGCTTGTCAACCTTCCGTGCGGCTTTGCCGCAGGTAACCGTTTTTTTCTTCGGTAGAAAGTTGAGGACGTGACCCAAATCTTTGCATTTCCAAAATTCAGAGGTTTACAAGGGCTATTTAAGGGAAGCCAAATGGCTATGACATTGTTATATACAACTGTTATATACAACTTTCCTTTTATAACTGTGTACAATTGTAAATTATGCATGCGTAGTATTTACTCCGGATTTTAAGGATTGATAATACTTACTATGATTTATGACTGATCTAATATTTTGTACATCGAAATAAATACATTTTATGATATTTTACAATAGAATAGCAAAAATTGTAAAAAGGTCCCCCCACGGTCAATTCTAATTTAATGTAAAAACTCTAATTTTATTTAAATTTTTCACTTATAAGAAAGAATTTTCATTTAAATATAAGCTTCACGTTCTCTTCATTAACATTTGAAATTCCTCAAATAATCATGAGTAATGTTGGCATTTTCCATTCAAAGTATCCTACTCATTCAAATATTTTGCCTCTAAAGAATATTCTACTTGCGTTATGAAATGCGCATTTTCAAGTAAAATCGAACGCAATATTATTGAGACCGAAGGATTAGCATAGAAAGCAAGCAAACTCAAAATCAAAACGCTGTCGGGTGCAGTGCAGCGTAGTATTGCGCGTTCCTCGGTCTCATGTAAATGGTGCATCGAGCGCAGAATAGCTTATACACAGAGAGCCTTAGTAATTAGAATTAGCAACCACTGTGGTATACGTATATAAACTGTTGGTTCAGGTTGGTCAAGGCTTGTCGGCAGCAGCGGCAGCATCAGTGTATACGTAGACACGGACACACACACACACACACACACACACACAGAGAAAGATAACGCTCTCGATAATAGTATGCAGTCGTTCCTGTCGGCTGCAGAGAGTAAGGCCTTTATAATTATTCTTGGCATTTTTTTTGCTTCTCTTCTCTCGGCTGGTCTACCGCACCGGTGATAGTACACGCTTTGTGGCTTCGATGCGCATACAGCCGGAGGAAATTACGCAAACGTCTAATGTAGAAAGTGAACTTACCTTTTCTTTGCATCATCGTCTCGAGAGCATACCCCTATTCGACTGTACTTCAGTTAATATTTCAACTATACCAGAGATGTGTAATTTTTGTTTGTTTGCTAGTAAAAAAAGTTGTCATTTTTCAAGTGTGGTATATATAAGACATGCCTTTATTTACAGAGCGCACATACATTTGTTATAATACATAAATTGAGCAGTCGTACGTGGTTTCATTAAGTGGAATAAGCATTTTTAGTTTTGTTTTCTTATGTCTTTTATGATAATTTTATTCATCGTCATATAAAACGAAAATTGTCGCTTTAGAAACCTTTTTTTTTTTGAATATACACGATAATATAGCAATACCGCTACGAGAAATTTTCAACGTTTATCTTATAGAATGAGCTTTTCTTGTCTTTATTTCTTGCTTAGCTCTCTACCATCTACTCGTATAATAAGGATAATAGCTAAACTGAAATCGTAGACTTCGATTTTGCTTTGGCACTATGAAAAACTTCTTTATTGCACTTTACGACATAAACAATTATTTTAACTTTTCTTTCAAAAATTCAAAAACACATCGACTATAATAATTCGTTTTCTCGTTGTAAAATACTTTTAAAATTGCATTAACAGCCATTATGAGAAAGAAGAATCCCAAGGTTAAAATGCAATTATTTTCATGTTTTTACTCATTTTTTTTCAAGCGTCGTTCTGTGCTGCTTTGCTTTTTCAAGTTCGCGCGGGACTGTCTGTGCAACGCGCGCCGTGTACACGTCATAGTTTTCTAAATACGCGAATGAGATCACGACCCAAATTCAAACTTGTGCAAATATACTTTGAAGCTAATCGATTCGAACTTTTCAGTATTTCTTTTCCTCGTTTTCTCTCTCTTTCTCTCTCTCTCTCTCTCTCTCTCTCCCCACAAAGTTTGATTTTTTACTCTAGAAATCAAAACGAAAACAAATAAAGTTTTCCAATCTAATGTATTTTAATGTGTATAATGAACAACAACGAGGTGAAAGGGGAAGAAGTGGGAAATTGGACGTATAATTGCTTAGAAAATCATACGGCAATTCGTCAACGTGAAGATATCTACAGCAACGGAATTCAAAGATAATATACACATTTAATAACACCATGAATTTTTTCTTTATGAGTGAATCATTTTTTTATCGTCATAATAATATTATCATTGTTGGCTGATACATACAAAACAACACACAATAAAAACAATAACATAATATTAACGTGACGCTCACAATAATAATATATAATGATAATAATATAATAGTCATAACCTTAATAATCATCATAAAACATCACGTCCTCGACATAAAAATGTATTAATAATTACAACTTTCACCGAAAAGCTTAGCTGACGCGATGACTGAGTCGCAACTGAATTTTGCTTTAGTTTTTCATTGTTTTACTTTTTAATCTCATTACCACAATATTTGTTTACTCGGAAAAAAACTTATTCATTCTTTGTCTTTTGTATTACTTATATAATATCATATTATCATCGTTACAGAATAACTAGCATATACTGTGACAGAACTATACATTTATTCAGACCCAGTTTCACGGGCCGCACTTGATAATCAGTTCGACCCTACCATCTTATTGATTGCATGATAGCATTATTTATTTTATCGCACTAGTCACACTCGCTTGGTAAATTGCTCAGCATGTCAGTGAATAAACAAACCTTTTACTTATCGTCATCGAATCAAAAAGTATTACAGTTAATGTTAATCTTCAGTCCAATTATTCGACGCGAATGTTTTATTCACTGACATGCTCTTTTATACGTTCAACGATTAAAAATTCAATAACTTTTTCTCTTATTTTCATCGTTTGTGTATACAGACTCGCAAAATCAGACGCGCGCGCATAAATACGAAATAAGACAGTAGAGAATCACCGAGAAATCTCGCAACGAACCTTCGGTTACTACCTATACACCCTAACTCCGATCGACTCTTTTAACGAGTGGATTTGGATTGCTTGCTCACTTGAGTGAGCTCAAGTTTTCACTTTTATGGATGTCAATTTTTTTCTTTCATTTTAGCTTACCAAATCGAAGACGCATCAAATCAAAATACAAAGCTTAATACTTTATTTTCACTAATCATGTGCTAAGCGAAATTGGCTTCTGATAATCAGCGTTAAATGTCGACATCAGAATCAACAACATCAAATATAAAAAAAGTCGTTTAAACAAATTTTTGGTCACCGCGACCAATGTAAATCACGCTCTCGCCCACACTTTTTTGATTGATTTCAAACTAATGTTTTATGTGCGTAATTCGTTTAATTTCTCTTTACGTACAATTAAGAATTATAGCTAGGACAGTTGCAATCCATTTGGTAGGCGTTGAGTACGAAGTTTTGACATATTTTTCTCTTGAAAAGCTAATTCTCGTATTTCCTTTTTTTTCATTAATGAGCTTATGCTAAATAGTGTAACTACAAACTTTTTGCTTTTTATGCCGTCTACTATCGAAATACGTCTAGAAAACACTTCGCTCGCGAGACTGAATGAAAGATTCGTGTAAATTTTGTGTGATTAGAATGCAAGCAAATAAGTTAACGTTACTGTTCTTGAGGAAATAAATATGACTGAGTACGAAGAAATGCTATATTATAGATAATCAATTAAAATCGAAATCGTTTAATGTTAGAACAGTTACCTGTTTTCCGTCAAGTCGTCACACGAAATCACATCCATCCAGCCTGCAAGTATAGCGAAGGAATAAAATTTTAATGGAGGTGATAAAAAAAGAGAACATGAAGAATGCAAAAGGGGGCAGCTATTCTGACACGCACACGGGAGCTATAGGACAACATAATGAATATACACTGGGCTAGAAGTATTTAAGGTATTCGAAGACGCACTAAGTGACACTAATTAGGCTAAGAATTGTATTTTTTTATTGAATATCAGTTTGTTTTCCTCCAAGTGTATCGCAATTTTCGAAATTCTGACTCTCTCCTCTCAACTCTCGAGTGTAATTATTATAGAGTAGGCGGCGCGAAAGTGGAGAGGAAGTCGCGAGATAATAGAAAGAGATGGAGAGAGAATACTATATATCGAGTTTTCAACGAATTGGACAGATGATTGCTCGCGACGCGCGCGTCCTTGTCAGACAATTGTGCCGCGTCTCTCCACACGCATCATTTTTTTTCTTTAATTTGTCTTCCTCATATATAATCTATATTTATTTATTTATTTATTTATTTATTTATATTTATATACGCATATAATTAATAATATATAATATGTATATATCACGTGAAACAGGCATTCCTGTACAACGTTGCATCGCAACTCGACACTTGCACGCACGCTCTCATACACACGCACGACTATTCGACAACTATTTGCATCATTAGACTAAACGTACTCTCTACTCTGGCGCGGTTCAAGTCTCTCGTTCGATCTCTCTCCAAGAGAGCCCGGGCCGCAGAGACCAAGAAGTGAGAAAAGAGGGCATTTCCTTTTTATCCTACACAGACTTACAGACAGATAAAGACAGAAAGGGATGATCGCGCTCGCGGCCCTTAAGTACCACACGATGCGGAGACAAAAGTAAAACAACCGAACCAAACAAAAATCGGCGTACGTCTATAATGTAGAAAACTCGTTTTTGCGGGGCATTTAAAACAGTTGAATAGGGCACGCTCGGGGGGCAGGGGTGGTGGGGGGCAGGGGGGAGACTAAACAACGAGCGCGACGATTTTTGCACACTTCGTCCCCGCGTCGATAGTCTCGCACGTGATATCGCGTTAATTTTCGCTCTGTCAATTATTCCCGGTATATATTTACACGCAAACAAGTAAAAAGAAGGAATCTCTGGACGCCGCGTTCGCCTTTAAGCCGCCAGTCCGTGGTTCTGGTGCAGCTGGACGTGTTGGTGATGATGATGCTGCTGCGAGGATGACGAGGCCGAGCTGCTAGCAGAAACCTGGGGTGGTTGACCGAACGCAACCCCAGAGAACATCACGGGTCACTGATGGTGATGTTTGGCCGAGCCATTGGCATGGTGAGCTTGCACGTGGTGTACGCTCGCCGCCACTGCGTGATGATGACCGGCTCCGTGGTGATTCGCGTTGTTGGCTTGGCTGTTGTTGTTATTATTCTGCTGTTGAGCCTGGCGCTGGCTGTTCTTTTTGTTCTTCATGCGACGATTTTGAAACCAGATTTTCACCTGACGCTCGGTCAGGTTGAGATTGCGCGCCAATTCCCAGCGCTTTTGCTTGGAGACGTAGGCGTTGAACAGAAATTCTTTCTCCAACTCGAGCGTCTGATACTTGGAGTATGGTTTGCGCTTCTTGCGCACCGTCACTTGGCCTGTCCATTCCAATGGATTCGTGCCGCTGACTCCCATGCCTGGCACGCCAACTCCCACGCCGACACCTAGCGAGCCTGTCGAAAACAAGGAAGATGGGGAGGAACCCCACATCACTTAACACAATTAGTTGTCCTGTAACTTTGGCTTTTCATTCAAGTATTCATGCGGATTGTATTATTTAAATGATTGCGCTTTTTCATGCATCACAACATTATTTGTAAGAGTAAAATCCACAAAAATAAAAAGTATGAATATCGTCAAATATGTATAAACAGCAGTAATATATAGCAATAATGGTGGGCCACGCGAAAAATAGGCGAAATGCAGACTCTTCGCGGAATCACCGACGAGCGATTTCCCGGGAAACTTTGTGGAGCAGACAGGAAGTCGTCGAAGCAACGATCGAGTGCAACGAAAACACGAGTGCAAAATGCTTCTCTTTCATCTTTGTGTATTTCCATTTGGCCGTGCGCTCACGTGCCAAACAGCACAGTTTTCACTCGTAGACGAGCAAAAAGAAAGATCGCGAGCGTTCCGTTAATTGGAGTATAGTACGACGAGGCCCGTTAGCGTGTATTATACGCAAACGCGCATGCGTGCCGTATATCAATGCACCAGCAATTTATCGTTCAAGAAGGGTAGGAAGAAGAGAGAGGGACAGTCATTATCGCGGGACAGCCGTAAATTTGGTCGTCTGCTCGTTTCTTCTTTCTTTTCTTTCTCTTTTCTTTCTCTTTTCTTTCTCTTTTCTTTCTCTTTTCTTTTCGGCCGGCCACAGCCCGCGCAATTACGAGTCAATCGAGCAACGTTTTTCGTCGCTCTTGCGTGCTTTCGAGACTGCTCATTGTTCCCCGCGCCAATCCGATCTCGGTCTTCGGAAGTTTCGCGCAAAATGGAGTGCACGTCTGCGCGGCAGCAGTTTCTTTACGCAATCAATTGTGACAGAGGAATTGGCACAAAGAGCCTCGCCAAAAGGCCGTAGATAATGAGGCTAATAACGCAGGATGTATCATTGCAACAATTGACAGCTCGTGTCGTAACTCAAGCTCGCGAGAGTGCGCGCAGAACAGCGAGGATTCGCGGAAACAAATGGCCGATGCGTCGAGGTCTGTGTGCGCAGTGCCGCATAGCGAAGGCTCGGCTGTGAAGCATAGCCAAGCGGCATACGGCAAAGCTTCCAAGCCGTGCCGCCAAGCGCAGTATATATACGTATGATATATAATTGGACTGCCGCGCTCGCGACCGCATACTAGCCGTGCAGAGAACATGCGTGGAGGCCGAGCGAGCGGCAAGCTGCTATGCGGCATTTTATGCTGCCCCGCAGCTCCACTGGTTTTCAGCGCAAACTTTGAACGGTCGTTCCTCGAATTCGCGATCGTCATCGACGTTTGTTATGAAAAATCACGAGACGCGAAAACAATCGACTTTGAACGACTTTGACGTTTGCCTCGCCGCCGAGACCATCGCACAGTAGCCGAACCGCGATAATCGGCATGACGTGATCGCGCGCGCGCGCGCCAACTCGCTCGCGTACGCGCCGAAAAATCGAAGACCGCGACTATAGCGCGCGTTCGACGTGTATGCAATGGCGGCAGCACGCGACAGATTTTAATTCATCACTCCGCTGTTTAATCGCTTCTCTCGTGATATTATCTACGACCACGCCAGACGCATAAACTATGGCCGCGTATACACCTCGTGCGTTACAGGTCTCGATCCCCACCCTTTCTCTCTCGCTTTTTTTTCGGAGTGCTTTGTATCGCCGTATATCGCGGCACGCGGTGATTGCCTATGCGCCGTCGATTTATCGTCCCTGTAAAAAAATCCAACACGGAAGTTTATGCGGGGGCTTTAAGGTCAAGATTTTACGTAACACGTGCCGGCTTTTTCGCGAAGTGCATTTTCACACGAAACTTTCCCTCTGCCACTGGAATCGGCAGGTAACAATGGAGCATCCAAAGAGAGAAAATAGGCATTTTGCTAAGACAATGGTGCATTGAGTGTGCCACAACTTTGTCGAGATATGTCGGCGTCAACATAAAAATGTGAATGGATAATTAAGACGTAGCGACAGTCGATATCAAATAAAACGCGAATTAAGCGAAAAAGTATATTTGCTGGCGTCGATGTCATCGGGAAACAAAAGCGGGACCTTTGTGCGTTTGATGCACGCAGACTGACCCCGTGTCTCTTTTGACGGCGACTTCGAGAAAAATGAGAACGATCGACGCGATGTTCATGTAAATGGAGAGAACGACTTTTTCCGGATCGAATCAGCCCCCGACTCGCGCACCACGCACGCGTACGCAGTTAGACGTACAGAGGGGAATTTTCCTGCAACGCGCACGCTAAGCGGAGGGGAGGAAAAAGGGAAAGCCTGGCTGCTGGCTAGCGAGCAAGCGCGTCAATATCGGCCCGAGCATTGTCCTGGCTGATTTACGAATATGCCTGGGGTGAGACGACGAGGCGCGCGCGAGCGGCTTTTCCAAACGTAACAGACCCATTGTTCGGCCCATTCGACGACTGGATGGAGTGCGAGAAACGTTTTTAATCAGCTCGGCAACGCATACAGAGGCGACGCCCAAGCGTTGAATGGCCGATTCGCTGGCCTCTCACTCGCTCTCTTCGTCTATTCGGAGGCTCCGTTGTTCGAACTTGAGTGCGTCCGCGCGGAGTCCGCATCGGACCCGAGGTGCGGATGCGCGCCTTTCCGATATTTTCATTCATTGACAGATGCTCCGACAAAAATAAAGCGCCGAGCCATTTGTCTCTGCGCTATGATCGTCCTGCGCTTCTCACAAAATAGCGTAGTATGCACTTTCTTGATGACTTCCTCTATGAGGTTTCGATAACACAATTATTAAAATGCGATTATTGCGTTGGTTACAAATTTAAAAACGAAATAAAATTGATTGCAATTGATCATTCGATACTCAACGATAGCGTGCGTCATTTGAAAATAAACAAACCAGTTCATTAACTAATAAAATGAAAGACGCGTCAAAAATTCAATTCTTGAACAAACTAACAGAATTTTATGATGAAGCGCAGTGTATAGCGTGATGAGCAGCAGCAGCTCACCAAGAGAGAAACGTGAAGTTATTTTTCTCTCCGTATCCCGACTGTTTACGAGACACGTATATACCTTGTGTACAGAGAGAGAGAGAGAGAGAGAGAGAGAGAGAGAGAACGCGAGTGCTCCGGTGCGCGAGCGCCCGCGCGTGTGTGTGTGCGCGCGCAATGTCATTTTTGTTCTCTTTTTTCCGAGTGAACGTGGCCTTCTGTGTCGTTCTCTCGCTCGCGCTCAGGGAAGGATCCGCTCCAAGTCACGAGTAACGATAATGGAGCTGCCATCTATTGGAGCAACGGTACAACTAACGTCCGTGCGCGTCCCACGATATATTCGTCGTCGCTCGCGATCCGTAATACTCCCGATTCTATTTTCGTCAAGCCGGAACACACACACACGTACGAGTCGTTCGACAGGTTCTCCCTCTTCTAAAAAACTTTGATTTTTATCGCGAGATTTATTCAGATAGGGAGCACGCAGCGGATCTCTTTTTTTCTACTGCTTTCGGGAAGAGCGGATCGAAATCGAAATGATGTCGCGTTGTTTATTGAGATTCGCTCGGAGAGAGGGAGGGAGAGAGAGAGAGAGAGAGAGAGAGAGAGAGAGAGAGAGCGAGCGGGACGCTTTATTTTGAAATGCTCATTGGCGTTGAGAGATATTTTGACTCTCGCTGGACCGCGGCACAACCATGCAACGTTCCAAAAATTTTCTTTAACTTTGAATATTTTTATTAGTGAAATGATTTTTCTTTCAAAGCTTTTCTACTCGTCGGTATGAGTTTAGTTTATTTTGGACTTTGCGTTTGAGTGAACCGTTAATCGTCACGAGGAAAGTAATAGAAAATTATTCATAATTGTTGTAAACTGTTGTACGAGAAAAAAAAAACAAATTAAGGGGGAGAAAGAGAAAGGACGATAAGCGAGGAGGCACACAGGTCATGGAACGGATCAGCTGATCGGAGGCGCGCGCCAGAGTTTACGAGTTACGGCCGCCAATAAACCCCGCCGCCGTTCGTTGTTGCTCATGCGACGACGTTTCACGAGCTCTCTCTCTCTCTCTCTCTCTCTCACTCACCCACTCTCTCGCAAAGTATAGGATTCTACGAGTGAAAAAAAGGAGAGAGTTAAAGGGAAAAAGGACTGCAGGCTCAGCAGCAGAAGCAGCAGCAGCAAGAGAGCTATGGGGAATGAGTGATGACTTGATTTTTTTAGTGCGCGACAATTATCTGCGCGGGCGCCACGCTCGAACTTTACAGCGCGATTCATAGGCCACAAAATTTTTTTAATGCCCCACTCTCGACGCTCGTAATGGCTCATACATGTCCTTCCGGTTTTTATCGATACGACGAGTACGTATACGTACACGCACACACACGCGCGCGCACAGAGTGAAAACAAAACGTTTCATCAGTCGTCAAAGTGATTTTCGTGCTGGTTTCTCGCGTCGACTGCCTTCGTTTATGCGGCTGCGAGAGCCGGTCAAGCTTAAGGGCTTGGGACTGTTTTGAACAGCGGATCGGCGCAGACGCAACTCGACGCCTCGGAGAGCGTCGCGTGCTTGGCGGTCGGGCGCGTCGCAGCTATGCTGGATTGCTGGCGCAAGATCGAGAGGAAGGAGTCGATGCTTACCTGTAGGCGGATAAGGGCTGGACGTGACCGGTTCAGGCGCCCCGTAGTTCCTGAGCCCGCCGTAGCCGTCGTGCGGGAAGGCCGCCTCGGCCACCATGGCCGCGGCCACGCGGCCCCGGTCGTCGGCGGCCGAGGGCGTGAGGTAGGGCACACCGGCGGCCTGGGAGTGCGCGTGGTGGTGCGCCGCCGCGGCGGCCGCGGCGCTGTCGACCGCGCTGTGGTGGTGCCTGGCGCTGGTGTAGGGCGGGTAGTTGCACCAGCTGTTGGAGAAGCTGCTCTGGTGGCAGCTGACCGCCGGGTCGGCCGTAGCGCCGCTGGTGCTGGAGCTGGTGGTGACGATGCCGCCCGCCGCCGCGGGGTTGTACTTGTACTCGGGCTTGTAGTCGGCGTTGGCTGCCGCGGCGGCCGCGGCCGCGGCGGCGGCGGCCCCGCTCGAGGCCGCCGCCGGGGACCAGAAGCTCAGCGTGGAGGCGCCCTTGCGCTGGTCGCCGCGCGAGCTCGCCTGCGGCGTGTTGGGCCCGCTCGCCGGTTCGCTCGCCAGGTTGGTGTAGTACGTCGGCGTGCTGGCGTAGGGCTGGTGGTGCTGCTGCTGCTGGCCGAGCTGCTGCTGGTGCTCGGGCGGCGGCGGGTACTGCGAGTCTTGGTGCGGACTGTAGCCGGCCCAGCCGCCCTGACTGGAGCCCGTGGAGTGCGAGTGCCGTATGACGCCGCCGTTGGGCTCGCTCGGCTGCTGCTGCTGCTGCGGCGCGAGGCTGCCGCAGCCCACGTCCGCGTAGGTCGAGCCGGCGCTCTGCTGCTGGCCCACCGGCGTGGCGGTCAGCCGCTTGGCGGGTATGTGCAGCGGCCCGGTGGCGCTGTTGCTGGCCACGCTCGAGGCGCTCGGCGACGTGGACGAGGTGGGCGCCGTCTGCTGCGAGGTCGCCGCCGACGACGGTGCGCCCGGCGAGGTGGGCGTGGACGCCTGCTGGGTGCCGCTGGTCGTCTGCTGCTGCTGCTGCTGCAGCGACACGAGCGAGGACGCGGGGGCTACGGGTGGCGGCGGACTGTCCTCGTAAGGCACACTGTTCATCATGTTCCACCAGGTCAACCCGGTGGAATTCCCCGCTCCGGTGACTGTCCCCATCGGCGTGACGGAGGCAGGGTGAGCCACGCCGGAGCCGCATAGCGGCACGGCGTGCACATTGTCGTACAGCGTCGCCGTCGAGCAAGCCACGTGATCGGCGATGGTGCAAATCGCGATTGTTTAGGCGCGCGCGGTGGTCGGGTCGTTGGGCGCCAGCGGTTCCACCGAGTGTCGGTTGGCGAGCGACGCCGAGAATCGTTCGGCCAGTCGTTGCGGAATCGTCGGCGACACGCGCGCGCGCGCGCTCACGAGCCGCACGGGTGTTCGAGGCGACGACGTTCAGGCGAGCGTCATCGGGGGGTCGAGCGGGAGCGACAGCAGGAGCGACAGCAGGAGCGACAGCAGGACCGAGTGCGAGAGAGAGAGTAGGAGCACGAGGTGAGCGCGGTCCGTGGTGGGGAGTCCCGGAATGCCGAGCGAGCGCGGCAGAGCGCCGTATACAGCAGAGCCGAGAGCGAGCGAGAGAGAAAAAGAAGAGTAGGGATTAGCGGCGGCGGAGGGTAGGTGTGGAAGGGGCAGCCGACAGAGATAGAGAGAAAGATAAAGCGGACGCGCGAGGCGCACCGTGATAACGATGACGGATGCCGTGCGACGAGGATCGTGGCCGGCAGACCAGCACCCACGTGCCGCAGATTTTCGCGATGACGATGATTGTTGATGTTGACGTGCTTGTCCGTTGTCGTCAAGGTTGATGGTTGGATTTTGGGATTAGGTTGAGCACGTTGTCGAGTCCAGGTGTGTTAGATCCATGGATGGGATATTTGTTGATTGCGTTCAAGAAGAGACGATGAAACCAGAAAGAAACGGAAAACTCACTTTAGCTAGCTGTGCCTTTATCACTGCTTCACATGTACTAGTCTGTCAATGTTTGCGTGTATGTGTGTGGCTGTATCGATGACGCACCGGCTGTCAGACGAGCGTTAGAAAAAAATCAATAGAAATTCGCAAGACGCGCACTAATAGCACACTTTCCAAGTTTGCAGCGAAGGACGAAATGCGCCGCAAAAATATCTCTCTCACAGTAGCACAACCGAAATTTCAACAACTTTTTGTCGCCCTCTCACTGTTCTCTCGTGTCCGTCTTTCTCTCCACGGTGAGCTTTCTATTTTCACGCGCCGGGTACACGAGTCCCCAGCTCAACACCGATCATCATCACCTCTCACTCAATACAATTGGTCGTCGAACGCAGCACAGCTTGAGCAAAGGGTTCTTATTCACCCGCGACGATGGGCGGTCAAGGGATCGGCGAGAAAAAAATTTTTTTTCCTCCCTACGGCCGCTCGGCCCTCGGTCGCGATTTCACTTTTTTTTGGTCGTCCGATGCTCCTTGGTCGGCAAGCCTGCGGCGCAGGTAGCAGGGCACTGGGTGTGACGAGGCAGAGCAAGTGCGTTCCTTCCTGGCGCATTCGCGAGCGAGCGAGCGAGCTTACAACGACACGCATGTGCTATGTTGCCCTCGAGAACGTATACAGTGCTGAATGGGGAGCCCCCCGCACGAGAGATTCTCTCCTTCTCGCTGGCCTCGCCGAGCCAAACTGAGCGACAAGCCAACTTGCTCTGCTCTGCTCTGCTCTGCCAGTCGTCAGAGCGAGCGAGCGAGCGGGCGAGCGAGCCGCCAGCCAGTTGCGACCTCAGCGCAATCTCTCGGATGAAGGCCGAACCCACAACCGCGGAAGCTTTAACAAACGCGCCGTGCTTCGCTCTCCCCCTACTCGCCCCATCGATGTGTACGCATTCTCCGTCTCGTTCCTACTCGCACGTGAGAGCGCATGCCGCGTCTCTCGGCGCTTCCACCCCCTTTTCTTTTTACCTTCTTTTTTCGAGACGAGCGGCAGTGGTCCCCCGCTCCCTGCCCCTCGTCCTCCACCTCGCTCACCGCCTCATCACTGGACTTACATCCGAGCGAGGCGACATACGCGGAGCAGCGCCGGCGCTCTATCTTTTCATTTCCGTTCGTCGCTAAGCGCGTGCGGATTAGCTTTTTCTGCTTTTTGCTCTCCTCGACGGCAGCAGCCAGCGGTGCTGGATTAATTTATGGAGGCCGCTCGCCTGGGATTTTCTCGTCTAATTGCGGACGGTCACGCGCCAGCTTTTGCGAGGCATTTTAGCTTCGATCGATGCGCGTTACTCGGACGAAGGCGAATTCGAGTGGACAGGCGCCCGCGGACCGAAGCGGAATCGAAGCGTTCCGCTTGGCACCGACTGCCAGCAACTTGGCGCGGAGTCCATTGGCCAGTTTTAAGCGCGCGCGCGCGAGAGAGAGAGAGAGAGAGACGGAGTGAGAGCTTGCGGCAGCGGAGCTCGGCGCGCGGAGGGCGCGTATTATAACGCCCGCGCCACCGTTCTACGTATACGGCTCCGTGTGCGCGTGTGTGCATTGCAGTCTAAATCTCGGTACTTTTACGAGCAATAAAATAAAACGGTCTGACAACAGCTTCGGCCGCGGAGAGCGAGCAAGCGAGCGATCGCGCGAGCGTTGCGCGTATTAATTACAGCTGCCGTAACGCAGAGAGAGAGAGAGAGAGAGAGAGAGAGAGAGAGAGAGAGAGACTTCCCACGCGCAGCTCGCTCTTGCATCTAAACACGTGACTTTACGCACTCTACGACCTCTATCACGCATACACTCCTCTTCGTGTCTTACGAACCGTCTGGCTCGTCAAGCTACGTGCACTCACGATGCTTCTCGAGCTGCCTCGTTATTACTTATACTTTCTTTCAGAGCTTGCGAATAAGAGAACAGTGAGAGTTTTTCTTGGCGGTGCGTTCGTCTTTGACTCGCAAACGACGCCGCCTTTGGTATTTAGGCTTAGCGCGTATTCGCGCAGTGATGCTTTATGAGTCGTGCGGATAATAAAAAGGACTCGTTGAGCGTTGCATTGCCGAGCAGCGCAGCCTTGACCAAGTGGCAGCTGCTTTTTATCCTTCGCTTTTCGACATACTCTCATAGTCGCGAGAATTATACTCGCTTATTGCAGCGAGACTGTGTGCTTGTGCGCGCGCGCGTGCGTATATGTGTGTGTCTGTGTATGCGCGTGTATGTGTGTGTGACTCACCTTGTATACCAGCCAGGGTTGCAGGCGTGAACACGCGGGAGAACCTGAAATATTAGCAAACAAGGCGTCAGTCGCGAGCTGCTGTGAGCGGACGCGGTGCGCCACGCCAAGATGGACTGCATCTCGTAAATGTCCGGTGTAATGAGAGCGCGATGAGTAAACTTGAACTTTAAAAATATGGACAGCCGTAGCTATATAAACCCCAACGCCCGTGCTGCTGCACTATAAACTTCACTTTTTTATGATCAATTTGGGCTTAACTATAATTAGATATGCCAAAAGCGTCGCGACGTGTACCAAGCGCGCGCGATTTAAGCTGATAGCGCCTTCATATCGCTCCGAGAGAGCCTTTACGAATACAATTTATTCCGACGACTCGCCTACCCGATATTTTGCTTTTCTTATTTATTCATTCTTGAGTATGACGTCAAACTGTCTTACTTCAGGCGAAATATATTTTGTAAAATAAATGCAAAAAGCTTGAACATTCGCTGTAAACTGGCGAAATTTCGTAAATAAATGTCAAAAGAATCAACCGCAAAGAAAATAAATAAACATAAAAAATAAAAAAATAAAAGAATAACAACGGAATCCCCTCTCACAGAAATTAAGTTTACGAGGTCGCCTTTAATACAGTAATTAAGCCATAAAAAGGAGAAAGAAAGCTCGGCCAATAACGAGGCCTAATACCCTTATTAGAAAGAACACAACAAAAAAAAGGAAAAAAAGACGAAAGCAAGTCTAGGAGTCATCACCTGCACAGCTCGAACGGGTAGTACGGTTTCTCCACGGCGCCGAACACTTTGAGGCCTTTTGTCTGTCGGTCCACGAGGAAAAACGTCAGCCTGCAAGCAGAGAAAAAAACATTAAAGAATACTCGTCGATAATAGGCGCCCTCCATGACTTTTATATGCGCGCGGCAGGGTGAGATGGTTTATGTCGCGTCCAGGTATAAAGTTAATGGGCGCCACCCCGTATACACAACGATACGCTTTTCACTCAAGACCGAGAGAGAACTAAGCAGCCACAAGTGCTCCCTATGCTAGCTGCTACACTCGTCCTCACGTGATTGCTTCAACGTTATGGGCCTTTGAGAGCAGGTTATCTTATTGCCACGTGTACATACGATAAGGACGCTGCGTGTGTTTCCCGGAGAAAGTCGATGGACCAACTGCTGCGTTCGACCGCGGTGCAAACATTTTCTTTTTATTTTTGCGGTGTGATCAAATCGATTATCATTGCTATAAAGCGCAATGGCGTGAGAATTGTAAATAGACTTAAAATTTAGCGGGGAAAAAATTGAAATGAGCTTAGCGAGAGCATAATAAGATCGCTATGGAAAGTAGCAGTCATGCCCGTTCCATTCTCGCTTTCTGATCTTTTTCCTCGCGCCGTTCATATCAGCAAAGTGTTAAGGTGAATCTACGGCTGCGAGTTTACGGCAGCAGCGGAGTAAGAGGATAGTCGCGCCTCTCGGCAAGCCGGAGATTGGCCCGGGACAGAATTCATTTTGGCAGAGTGCGAATTGTTTGATAATGGCGCGCGGCTCTCTCGCTCGGCTGTGCGAGTAATTAGGAAATTTTCCTGCGGCTTTAATATAACATGAACTCTCGAGTATTTGGCAAGGAGCTTTTTAATTAAACTAGCAACGACAGCAGTTTTTCACCGAACAACGTTTATGGTTACACACGTCGCGTTTTAAACAAGAGAACGACAGGCATTAATCATTCGCTTGGGCGCACAAAATTTATGTGCGAGAGGTTTCCAGCGGCTAAACACTCACCGGTAAATAGCCGCCAAAAGTATGTATTTTCACCTAGCAGCCGACATTGTCGTTATGTCCAAATGGGAGAGGAACAATATATGTGTATATGTACCAGTGCGAGCACCAAAGAAGATAATGGAAGGAGAGCGGCAAATTCAACGAATATATGTACTTTCGCCCTGCTGTCGGACACGAGAAAGCTCTCTCTCCCTCTCCAGGGGATGGGAAATCCTTACCAATTCACACACACTCTTTCTCTCTGTCTAGGAACCAGCTGCGAAATGAACAATGCCTCGCAGGATTTTTCTCTCCACCCCGAAGCTTCGGCGTTTTTCGGAAAAGAGTGTACATGTGCATTTGCCACGCCCATTGTTTAAAGCGGCGATATATACATAGAAACGCGCGTAGCGCTCACTCGCACAAATTTATTACCAATAAAATTCGCCAGTATTTTACAGCCCTGCTGCAGTAGCGCCGCGGTATGTAGGTGAGCGTCATCGGCTTCCGTTTCAATCGCTCACGCCGCGCCTGCTGCACGCGCCACTTGCGGTTTCAGGAGCCAACCCCCTTACAGCTGATAGACGCTAATTAATCAATTATCTATTGGGTGCTTCGATGTATCGCTTTTTTTTATCCTCGCGGGCTGGTCTTTCATCATTTATTCGTTTTAGAGAGATGCTTTCTTTCGCTTTGCACTTCGAAAATATCGCTGAGAAAACTAGTTTGCCGTTTGTTACTTTGGCACAATGACTGTGCTTTCCGTATGAAAATTAATTCAGTACGAAAGGTGATTTGATAGGAAAAATTTATGATTTTTAAGACAGAATGATCAGATTTTATTTCACGAATTGACAGAGGATACAACTGAGAGCGTACAAACTCGTCGAGGGCTCTCAGCTAACTGACAGTCGACTACTGCACTAGTCGTCACTCTTCATCTTAAAAGCAATAAAAAAAAGAAAGTGGAAATTTGAGACGAGTGGCGAACCAAAACATAGGCGATAGTCACGATAACGCGGTCATGGCTTAGTTGCGCCGCTTATGCGCCGTCGGGGTAACACATGTTGACCATGAGGAGACCACGAGAAACGCGTAAGCTAATAGAGTGGACTGTAGATTACAAAGAGAGAAATCGACACCCTCTCAACGACTCAGCGAGGTACCGCCTTTCTTAGAATTACTTAAATTGAATACAATGAGTGAATCATAAATGAATGTTGGTAATACAATACAAATATAATATAATTATATGCAAATAACGTGAGTTCAACTAATTTAAATTTAAAGTCTATGAAATTGTCCGATATAATAACCGTAAAACTACTCGATATCGTACACCATTTCAAACAGCACTTAATCAAATAATTTTCGTAATGAAAGTGAAAAATAGCAAGTTGCTGAAATTTAACAATCATCAATTTTTAGAGGCCGGAATAGCGCACTGGCGAAACTTTTCTTTCTACTCTCGCGTGAGAAACTTGACGGGCGAGCGTGCAGTAGATCAGCTGAAAATTTAAATGGGAAAAATACGCGGGATGAATTCACAAGCGGCGGCGGAAGGCGGTCGCGCGCAGACGAGAAAACTTTTCGAGGCAATCGAAAGTTTGTCTCTTTTTCTCTCTGGGTTTGCCGACGCGCGCGTCGCAAGTATGAATCTGCATAATTTAATTTCCCTGGCGAGCCTTGATTAAAAAACATCAACCCTTCCGCTCGCCCGCCCAGCTTTCTGGCCGCCGACAAATCTTAAGCTCGACGAAAATTCAAGGAGGGGCGGGGGCGAGCGAGCGCGCGTGCCACAAGAGTTTTCGACCGGGCGGGCAAAACTCGTAGAGCCGTATAGCTTGGCTTTCTCTCTCTCTCTCTCTCTCTTTCTCATCCCCCTCTTTGGATGGATCAGCCGACGGGCCAATCCGGTGGCGCGCACTTGCCCAACATGGCAGGGTACGTGCATGCTTGACGCCGCGCGCGCTATTCCCTGCTTTTCCATTTTCTTTTCCCGGAAAATCTGACTTCACCTCTGTTTTTTGTTTTTAATCTATTCGTTTGATTCATTCGCTGCAAT